TGATTTTCCCAGTATTCTTCAATAAAGCTCTAATTAGGAGTATATATCCCAAAAGATTTTCAATGAAATGCCAGACAATGCTAAAACAGGAATCCTGGTCTTTTGAAAACATGGTAAGTACAAATCTTTTTCAGTAAAATCTTTTGCTAACTCTGAAAACTTTTTACCATCCAATATATTTGAGATCAGTCATGTTGGTGTGGATGACTAAAGAGAACTGAAAAATAAGAAATCACTAAGATTAGTGAAACCCTCACCCTCTTTTATGGTCATTTACTGAAAGGAACTACTGCAATTGTCCTTTACTGGTTCTCACATTTAGAGATGACTATGGCAGTTTTTCAGATGAAATCTCCTTAAAAAGGAACTTTCTTTTATGACAGAATCAATAAAAAGGCCTTTTCATTCATAGCTAGAAAAAAAGGATTTGGAGGATTTGGAATACAGCAATTTTCCCTGCCTACCATTTTGAATTGGGAATCTCCTAATAATGAAACAAGCACAGCACAATGTCTTTTATTCAATCTGCTAAAACTGGGCTGATGACTGTAATATTCATGTAATGTACATGTTCAAATTCATTCCTGGGCACCATAACTAAAGGAGAAAGTCAGAGGGAAGACCATAAGTAACTGTATAAACTGCATTTCATATAGAGATAAAAATGCAAACTCTTCATTGTGCTACCTGTAATTCTAATAAAGACTATAGTTCCTTCAATTTCAAAGGTGCTTCAATGCTTCTTAGTACATGGTATTTTAATTTTTAACATTTCAGAAAAAATTTGGTTTGGATTAAAAATATTCAAGTTGGACTAGAAACTCTTGAAGGAAAATGTTAAAATTTATTCTCAGTTGTAAATAATTTTTACTAGGTTCCTTAAGAAATTAGACTTATTGTGTCTTGGTATTGCTAAATCTGCACTGAACTCTTAGCTGAAAGAATTTGTCTTGGAAATAAGAAGGAAATATCAATCTATATTGATATTTGAGAAAATCAAGAACAAAAATTTCTACTCAACATTACCCACATTTTACTTTTAAATTCATAAAAAGAACTGAATGATTTTTCTTTTAATTCAACTCAAAATTGTATTTTCATTATTTTGATGAATTTGTGGTCTCTACAACACAAGTGATCATCAGCCAAGTGGCTTAAAACAGAAATACAATTTCACTACTTGTTGTCATTAGCTAAGCACAGGAGTATATACTTAAATGCTTGGATGAATAAAATTTATTCTTGAATTCTCTGCTAACTCAAAGCTTTAAAAGTAAAATCCTAACTGAAATAACAGAGATAAGCTTTTGTCTCTTGTCAGTACTGACCAGTTGGACTACCAACACTGCTTCCTTGATATTTGGCATTTTAAACAAGACACAGAGAATGATTTACTATCATCTACCATAGGAAATACTGGCAATTGTTTTTGCATTTCAACAAAAATATTCCAACTTGAAAGAAAATGTTTAGATGATTTTAACATTATTTTTTAACTGAGCAGGGGTTGCAGGGGTGACCCTGAGCGGTGCAGGTGAACATTGTATTGGCATTCAGGGCATTTGTCACTGGTACCGTCAGAGCATGACACAAACAGAACCTGCCCACCAGAGTGGGCTGAGCTCATGCTGAACACTGGAGAAATTGTAATTGGGAGTATAGATTTTCAGCAATACACACTCTCACTGTGAGAAGGTGACTGCATGCTCCATCACACTGACCTTTAGGAAACGAAAGGCTCGGAAGGCTTATGGGAATAGTCCTGGGTCTGGTATTTAACTCCTCTAAACACACTCTTGTTAAGACATAATGACTTGAGATAAATTCATGGTGAAACTCCCTGGTTTATAGTAGTGCCTATTCATTTCCTTTGCCTTGCTTTCATCTGTTATCATTCAGTGCTCTACTCATCTGATACTGTTGTTTTGCTCTTTCTGCTGCCTTCTCTGACTTTTTTCACTTTTTTTAATGGTTTTTAGTAGCATAACCTTGAAGAGTCTCTTCATGTTTAAGTTAATTAAAAATATTTTTCACACCCAGTAAGCAAGATGTGACTCCATACTATGTGTGCTTAATGGAAGAAATATGCTTTACATGCTTCATTAAGTTATTTGCGAAATTGCATTAGTGCCATTCCATTAGTGTACCTCTTTCAGCTACATCTGTGGTCTGCTTTTGACAGACAAATTACCAGTTTCATAAGTCTATTTTGCTTTAGTAATGATCTTCTAATATGCTGAAAAATATCCATCTTAATAGTAATGGGAAAAGAAAATAATAATGTATTTTTCAATATAACAGGAACAAAATTATCTGCTGTGGGGCAAAATAATTACCAAATTTCTTAAAGCAAGCAATTACAGGTTATTTTGGATATTTCATTAAAACTACAACCTCACACAATACAGAAACATTAACCTTGAAATAAGATGTCATAATGAAGTCCGTATTGATTAGAAGAAGTGAAAGGAAAGTGTTTACTACATCAAAATCTTTTAAGACACCTACAGAATTTTAAAACAATCAAAATGATGTTGCATTGACTATGCACTAAATTGTGAGAGCATTTTGACACCTTTTAAATCTGTGCAGTAAAAATTCCTTTAGGAGAAGCAAAACATTACTGACACTGGGTGTGGACGTCAGTTAGAAGCTGGGATTTAACACAAGAGTGATTAATTTTTACACTGTTTCATAACAAGTTCCTATTTAAAATCATACCAAGCTAGGTGTCCAAGCCACGAGATGCTATTTTACAACTTCCAAGATTAATGATAATTTCCTGTTTGTTTTCAATTAGCTGTTCACTTAAGATCAAGGTCTCGTTATGCTAGGCATCATAAACACAAGAAATTACAGCCCCTGGCCTGGAGAAGTTACAGTCAAAGAATTTGGACTGTGCTGTGCTCATCTTCTGTGCTGGTGCAGGAGTAACGATGCATAATAGGTATTTCAGAAGTGTTATTAAACATGTGTCCACAACCTGCCAGAGTGAACAGGGAAAAGAGGATGAGGACAGCTGGAAAACTCATTTAATGTCCCTTTTGATAGCTCTTTATCAACAGATGATCAGGTGATGAGGATTCTGATATAGTAACAGATATCTACATAAATCATTTCTCTTTCTAACATATTGACTATTCCTGTCTTTCCTCTTCTCTGGTTGCTGACCTTCAAAATGAATTTGGGACCTCGTGTCAGGATTTAATTCAGTTATATTATGTGTGCTAAGATAGTGAGTAGATAGTAGCTGTCTCACTATACTAACAAAAATAACCTGAAGGGAAAAAAAAAAAACCACCTAAATTGATATTTATTAGAGTCATTCATTGTCGTATAATAAATCTGTATGCCAAAGCCCGAGTTTAGGAGCAGAAGTATGCTATGTCAATTTCCTGAGGGTATTCTGATATTCAGGGAGTGTATACTGAGTGGAAAACACACAACAGGGAAAAGTATCAATGACTGAGAAAACATGAACAATTACAGCATCAGTTGAAGGCAGCTGTCTCTACACATGTTGATTTTACTCCAAAATGAAAGACTCGGCAGGATTCTGTCAATAACAAAAATACAACAAGCTAGATGGCTGGTTTAGAGCACTAAATAGCAAAGTAGGGCAATTAGGCACGCCACAATTTAAACTGAATAGTAAATAGGTCAGGCTTGTTTTGCAGTTTCTCCGGACACTAAAATACTGCCTTTCAATATCTAGAAGGTACATGAAGCTGAGAAGGCTTTTAAGTTGGTCAACTCACAACTCTGTTCACTTACTAGATCTTGTTACTATCATAGAAGAGCACAATGTGTCTCACGTGGAAGAAGGAATATAAATAGTCTTGTTAAGATGAGCCTCTATATTTAAAATAATCTCATTCATTTTGTCTCCCCATATGACAGCTAGGACATCAGTATTCAGTATCACAAGGTTTCCAGACTCAGAAGCAAATCAGGCTGATCTGCAATTTTGCACCCACACCAGAAGGAGTTTCAGCTTTTGACTGTCTTACTTTAAGATATGTGATACATATGCATAATAAAAGCCAAGCAGTTTTTATGTGTCCCTGTAATACAAAACCTCCCTGTGCTCTACAATTCTTGCCATTATCTGGCACCTCCTGTTCTTCAGCTTTTGCTACAAGTGCTGGACCCCAAGTGCTGTGAGAGAAGTCCCATTATAAAGGCATGAGTTCAGAATTCCTGCCATTCCCTAGTTTTACTCCTTGAACATTTTGTAACCTTTCATTAACTGACTTACTCTAGACTTATGGTCACTTACTTCTACTCATAAAATTAAAGACCAACACCTCAAATGGTGTATATATAAAATTCCTCACTTATTTAGAGGCATGAACCACATTCCTGATACATTCATGCAGCTTGTGCAGCTTTAAAGGGCTTCAGGTAAGGGCAGAGCCACTGAGAATTTCCTCATGTAAAACCATATGTCAGGTTCATTAGTATATTTGCTTCTGCCATTTACGAGCACAACTGTAAATTGCACTCTTCCTGCCCTCACAGATTTTAAAGAATATTGACACAGGAGAGTGTCTGGCCTGAAAACAGCTCACAAAAGTCAAAGCTACAAGACTCACAAACACCTGGGACAAATGAACCACAGGGAAAGAAAAGTGCCATTCAGGAAAGGCTGGAAATGACTATTAATAGCTACAGACTCGTGACACTAGAAGAGCAGCACACATGGGTAGACAACAGTGCCCTACATTCACAAAAAGGTTACAGAGAGCACCAGCAGGCAATGAATCACACTCACAAATAGAAGAGCTGCTTCACAAATAAGTGGGTTTGGTGTTTTGACTTTCTTTTTATTTACTTCTTTGCAATAAAAATGCTGCTATTCTCTTCAACTATTGAACCCAAGAGTACTAAATGTTGCATCAGTAACACAGAAGTATAGAAATGTATAAAATTCAATATTTAAATAAGAAACTGATTTACAGACAGTATACAAACTTTCATTCTCCTCTTGAATCTTACAGACAACTCCTCCATGAAATATGTTCATTTTTGTAATACAGGGCAAGATTTTATGTTTTAAAGAACAAACATTATTCATCACACTTGGGATGTGAACAAAAAGACACATGAAGGAGGGTAAAGAGGTGAGTCTGGGCAAGGCAGCGTGGGGGTGCCACCTGAAAATAGACACTCTTCTCATTGCCTCTGTCTTCTTCAAGACTCAGAGCTATTCCTGATGTCACCCCCATAAAGGGTCCTCTGAAAAGCCTCCTGAGGACAGCAGGATCTGAAAGGTAATTTTTTTTTTTTTTTGACAGTAGTAAACCTTGAAGTAGAGTGGTTTTCAGTTTTGTGGATAGCTTTTTCCCTTCAAAGACTGAAGCAGACTTCAGTCAGAGGAACAGGAATAACACCCCTGTTAATGTACAACATATTTTAATGCTCTGGCTCCACTCAGGTAGTAGAATAATTATGTGTATTTATAGAAGCACTTATAAGAACCAGAGATTTGGATTTTGGCATGTGAGCAAAGTAATCCAATAAGAAGTGTTAAGGCCAGAATTTCTTGACCTTTATATTTGTCAAAGTTGTTGGTTCAATAAAGGTCAAGATGTGTGACAAAATTCAAGCCTGTCTAAGCCAATTAATGACAAGTAACCAGACCATTAAAAATCTCATTTATGCTGAGCAGTCAAGTGGGTTATGTGAGGGCACTCTGTACCTTAGATAGTCTACACAATTTGTTACAGGCTTGCTATAGGATAATAAAGGCCAGAAGGCAGCTGAATGAGAGAATACTTAAAGTTTTAAGATTAATAGGATAATCTATCTGGCTTGCCCAGCAGAGAATCACAAATAAATAAAATAGTAACACTTTCTTATTTAATTGCAAATATTGGTACTTCACAAGAAAATTATGAAAACAAAAGTTGAACATTAAGAATATCTGGATATACTGCACTGATAAAATGCAGGGGAATAAACTCTTCAACACAGCTATATGCAGTTCATAACCATAAGTGGTATGCACAAAGATACTAAAGAAATAGTTTGAAAGCACCAAACTGCTCAGGGGTCTCTTTCAAAGAGAGAGAATTGAACAAATAAAATACATGCTCTGGTTTTCTCTAGGATAGAGTTCACTTTCTTCTTAGTAGCTGGTATCATGCTGTGTTTTGGGTTTAGTCTGAGAATAATGTTGGTAACACACTGATGCTTTAGCTGTTGCTCAGTAGTGCTCACTCAGTCAAGGACTTCTCAGAGTCTCATGCTCTGCAGGGAGCAGGTGCACAGGGAGCCAGGAGAGAGCATGGCCAGGACAGCTGACCCAAACTGGCCAAGGATATTTGAAACCAAAGGACAGAAGAACAAGCACATTTCTCTTTTTTAGACACCCTGAATTTTTCCATAGCAACAAAATGGTATAACTGGTTCAGATATCAGTTTTTCTTGCTAGTAACAGCAATCATCGGTTCATAAAAACAGAATGTCTTGGGTTACAATGTAAGATGTGACCAAAAGTATGTATTCTCTTACCATCTTGATAAGCTGTTGAAACAGGCGGGGCAGTGTTCTTTATCTTCTCCATGAGTCATCCCTGATAACTCACTCAGGGGCCATTGTCACTGATGGACCACCAAGGTGTCACAGCATGACTCACAGAATTACAGCGTCCCTTTGTGAGATGTCCCACTCTGGGGAGAGGAACCAAGTATTCCTGCCTGTGTATAATCTGAGTTTTGGAATACTGTGGGCAGCACCTACCACTGGATTCCCAAAGCACAAGAGCTAAAGAACCACCATTGGAGAAGGATCAGATCTTTCTACAGGTAGATCACTTTGACAGAACCACATCCATCAATCCAGCAGGACTGCAGCCGCCATTTAATCACACTGCTACCACCAACCTGACCAACAGGGTGTCAGGTTACATTCTGTCAGTTTAAGCCAGTGTTTCTGTAATTTTCCAATTAATTTGTAGTTCTGATTTGGAATCTCTCACTGGTTTGCTTACAAACTAGTACAAATAAGAAATCCTGCTTTGCTAGATAAGGTGTGATGCTGGTGAAAGGAAAATGTCCAATAATAAAAGCCAGCTTGTACATATTTTCTGTTAAATAGGGGCATATAAACTATGGCTTTTATTTCAACTTGCACATAACTCTGTTAAAACCAGCACTAAATATTGCAAAGTATCAGTTGTATTTTTAGTCAGATTGTGTTCCAAATGGGTACAATAAAAATTCCTTCCACCACTTCCTTTGCAGGTAAACTCCTGCACTGGGATGCTCTCTGTGAAGAGGGAGAGTCTGTGTTATCACACTCAAAATCAAACAAAGCTGCCCTGGCAAGGACAGACTGACATCATGTCCATACTGCCTACACAGACATCAAACATGGACATAAATACAGCCAGGACAGAGCATCTGCCAGGGGGTAGAGCTGCACAGCTGGGAGAACAGCTAAGACATGGCACAGGGCTATGGGAGGCTTTGGGATGGTGGGCAGGGGATGGCTGGAGCCTGCAGAAACCCCAGCACAAGGAGCTGCAGCCCCAGGTCAGCCCCTGCCCGAGCTCCACAACAGAGCAGGAGATAATCTCATGCTGGGATAAAGAAAGAACCTGCCCACAGCAGCACCGCCCCGAGCAGCAAGGAAAGGCTCTGGAACAGAGAAGAGGCATCAGTGTTCTCTCACCCTCAAATGCCAAAAAAGGACACATTAGCAGCATTTTGAAAAAAGAAAAAAAAAAAATTGAAGCATTTTTTCTCAAAGTTGCTTAAATTATCTGACAATGCCCTTTTTTTTAATGGGTCATCATAACCTCCCTGAAGGCATTGCATTAGCTCAGTAAATTCCAGCTTGCAGTGCATCATTTTAAAGCAGACTGACAGACACCTTCACAGTAGGGTAAGTAGCTTTCAAGTTTTATACAGCAAACAAGTTTTATGTTGGTAATTGAACACTCTGTATCACATCTGCAGTGCTTCTGTGACCAGAGGCAGCAGGGCTGGCAGGGCTGTGCCCCAGCCCCATGGAATTCATACATGGAACACAAGGTGCTGCATTATCTTAGGCTTCAAATCCATTCATTTGCTACTTCTCACACACAGAAACTTCAACACATATGACTGTGCTTAATAAGTAAATATAATGATATATAATTGAATATCAATTCAACTGTAAAATGCTCAGTGTGCTGTATGAGCAGCTACTGATGTTGGGGCCTGGGATATGTCATAGTCTCCAGCTCTGGCACTTTCTGGAAAAGCCTGGCAAACAAAACTTAAAGTTACCTCCACGTGAAGCAGATACTTACCCCACACTTGACTTCCTTCTTCTGGTCCCCACACATCTCCACATAGCTGTTTTAGTGCTAAATCAGTAACTCTTCTCCCTTCCCAGTGTGTTCCCTTCAATGTGAAATTTAGACCTGTTCCTTACCCACATCCCTGCAGCCTCTCCTCAGCCCTGGCCAGCTCTTTCTGGCCCTCTTCTGTCCTGATGCCTCCTCTCCCCCTTCTCCTCAGCTTTCTCTCATTAATAAAATACGGAAGAATCTTCTTTATGTGTTTTTCCCATTTTGCTATAGCTGAATAAGTGGGATTTTAATCCTTGAAAAAATTTGTCTCCTAGTATTCATAAGGTTTATAAACTAGTGCTACACTTGCTATCTTGTGATGAATAGTTTTTTATCATGCATTCCATCTGTGACAGTAAAGCAATTCCTCACTAAGGAAAATACAATCACCAAAACACAGGAATTTGAAATAAATACATGAAACTGTTCCTTTACAGCTGTTATTTTTGTGAGTGTTGCCAGACATGAGATACAAGAAAACATGATATCTTTACATAGCCTTCTGCCACACTTCAACTTTCCTTCAAATTAGACCCACACAGGAGAGTATATATGAATATCTCCAAGAATAAGATGAAACTCTGCAGTGAACCATTCTTCTACATCAGCCTCTGCCAGGAAAGCTGTAAGCAAATTATCAGCCCAAAGTACCTAGAGTGTTTCAGGGATTTGGGAGGGAGGGCATTTCTTTTGTTGATTGGTTGGTTGGTTGGTGTGGTTTCTTGGTAATAAGTGGCAGCAATTACACTTGAAGGATCTGAAAGTTAATTCTACAAAAATCTAGCCTCTGCTTTTTACAAGGCAAGGTTACCCACATTTATAAGCTTACTTATGAACAATGAAATACTACTGGAAGAGAACATCTCAGAGTTAAAGAAAAAATAAACATTCTGAACATGTGCCAAACTCCCCACACAACCCAACAGCTTCCCATTCACAAGATTCAAAATATATTTCTAGGAATGAAACAGAAATAAATTTAGAGTAGAAAAGCCCCTCATAATTTCAAATTCTAGGTAGGAGAGTTAAAATTCCATTTGGTTGGAGTTTTTTTCTAATCTGTAGGATCTTAGTGACAATACAACTATGCAATTTTATTTTTTTTTAATCCAGAAGACACATTAAGTACTGGAGACTCTGCAACATCCAAATCAGAAACTCTGCAGAACACCAGTCTATTCATAAAGACCTGATTTGCACGTTCTCAGCACTTGGCTTCCTTTGAATGGTATGACTAAAGAAACTGAAAACTGTCTATTAGTATTTCTGTAATGCAATTTAATACATGACTCCTCTCTGCTTTTACAGGGATTAGATGGCACAATCTCTTTTCACACTGCTTCTATTTGAAGCTCCTGCTTCACAAATAGATACAACCCTGAGCTTCCCAAAACGGAAGGTAATGTATTTGTATTTCTTTCCAAACTTAATTCTTTTACTCATCTAACTTCAGAATGATTGAGGAACAAACAAGCTGCAGGTAAGCTGGCAGTTTTTTCGTTTAGAAGTGCATTGCACTTTTTTGTATTCTTCACCTTGCCTGGCATTTTATTTTGCTGACAGTTTCCTTTAACAGAATGCAACTTAATTATACTCAGCATTACCTGATCAGCAGGAGTTTGCTTCTTTGAAACTTTTTTTGTCCATTAAATGTATGAATTAAATCTGGCCCATAGCTACCTTTACAGTCTGCAATGCTTAATTTAACATCCATATTACATTATGTTCATACTCAAAAGAAATGTAATCTCAAAATGATTCATAGATGCTCACAGTTGCCTACATAATGAGCACTCAGAAGGCTAACAAAAATTGATTGTGCCCTGGGAATTGGTGCACAACATATAAACTATCTGTACAGCCTGAGTCAGTCTGCAAACTCCATACTGATGGCAAAGCTCACCCTTTCCATTCCTTATTCTGAACCACTCTTCAAAAGAGTTATGGGACAGGATCAACACTGAAGGAACAGCTTTGGGTGTCTCTGGTGTAACAGACACACACCTGGATCATCTCTCATCATAGGTAAATCTGTTTTCTGCTTAAAATTTGAGTTCTGTGTGGGATGGCAACTAAAACAAAGACCACCTGGCCAAAGAACTCATGAGAAGGGACAAGAGTAGAAGAGAATGCCACAGGAACAAAGAAATAAATCATTATAAATCAAGCAGTCTCTTGGTACAAAGTTAAGCTGACTTGCAGCAAAAACAGTCAGGCAAGATTCCGGGTGCCTGAAGAAACACTGCATAAAAGAAAGGAATGTTCCTGCCCTCAGTCGGGATGCTCCCAAAGAGTGGGGAGATCAAGGCAGCTCAATGCCCTGAATTGTCTCAGGCATTGATGCTCTCTGTATTCCCCAGAGCAGGAAGTAATTTGCTGTAGAATCTCTTTTTTACTAGCTCTGCTTCAAAGCAGACAAGAGTTATTCCCAGGGCATGGATTTGACCAGACTGTCAAACAGAGGCTAGCATTCCACTAAAGCCATAGCCTGAGCTCTCCCAGAGCAGGGGTACAGGCTCACACAAGGAGGTAGGAAGGGTCACAGAAGGAGGCAGAGAAGTTCAGAGCCTCCCTGTGCCCTCTCCACAGGAAGCCAACACTCATCTGGGACATGGTGAACTGGTTTCAGTTGTACCTCCTGATGCCAAGTCAGATGTGCCTGCCTACCTTCCAGAAAACACCTTTAATTGGAAGGTGGAACCTAAAGAAGTCCTAAACTGTGTAGTCAGCCTTGTCATTTTGACCTTGATTTTATGCTTTGAATAATCTCCCCATCACCATCATTTTCCAAGCCCGCCTTCCCACTGTGTGGCTGTAGCATATGATGGTGACATTTGCTTTCTGTTCCTTCTCTCAAAGCTGTTCTACTTTGTAGACCAGTTTTCAGAAAGAGAGAGAGCAGCATGGGGCAGAGCTCTGCAGGCCTAGAGCACTAAGCACAGAGGGCTGTACTTTCCACACCCCACTCCAAGGCCACTTACAAATATCATATACTAAATTATATTTGGACAAAATAACATTTCTCATATCTTAGAACAGAGCCATAATTGGCTCTAGAACTTTATCAAGCCCCAGGTCCTACCAGAGTATCAATTATAATAATAATGCCAGTAGTGGCTTCACAACTTCCAGTTCAGCCAAACAGCATACACTTACAGCTTCCCAACACTCTTCTGAGGATTCAGCTCCAGAGTGCATCTATTCAATTCCAGGCAGGATTGTGGTAGACAATTCTAGACTCTCTTTAATAATTAAATCAAGACATGGTATTTTGCTCTTCTTGAGTATGTCAGACTTACTGAGAGTAGTTGCATGCAGGCAGCAGTAATGCTCTTGATTTCTTGCTAATCTGCCTCAAAGGACACATATCCATAATACCAGTGACTTCAGCATGCTCATAATAGAGCAGAGTTTAAGCATCTACTTATGTGGGAAGATTTTCTTATATCAGAGCCATATCTTTTATGATAAACATAGATTGAAGTCCTATTTCTGATAACAATTAAGTCCTAAGCATGGAGGATTTAACTGCACATTAGAGCACTGCTGTTCTCAGAGGGAGTTTGTTTTCAGACATCGTGTCCAGCAGTCCATACTCAGGAACACAGCCACAGGTATAAGAGAAATCAGCCATCCTTTCCACAAGCTGCCTGGTTGTACCATGTGCAGAAACTCAATACCACCACATCTGCCACACTCTGAGTATAATTGCTACAAATTGAAAATAACAGCATTTCCTTTCTACATTGTTTCAGCCTCAATAGCTGCACAGACACCCGAGATTGAAATCAAGAGTTGTAGATGAGAAATTTAGATATAATTGAGCATGAAGCATCTCATTTCAGACAAATTGTTTTGCTTTAATACATACAAGTGTACTGGTGAAAGATGCTTTGAATTGCAAAATCCAATCAATGAAAGAGTAAAAGAAATTAGTTACATTTTGCAAAACACATAGGAAAATGTTTCCTATTGAAGTAAAAAGAACATTTCCTCTCTCATGAAGCAGGAGATTTTTTTAGTAACTATTCTACAGTACATAAATCACGTTCAGGCTAAAAGTACATGTGTTACAAGAAAGAATTTCAGTAGCCAGTATAGCTCAAGAAGTTCTTACCTTTGCTGAATAGCTAATTAGAGCACTCATTTATCATTCAAAAAGTCTCAGAAAAGCATGAAAAGGGAGGACAAAAGAAACAATAAATACATGTGGTGGTGAGACAGCTGAATAAGCTATGTCCTCACTTGAATTTAGTAAGTCTCAAAATTTAATGCCAAGGGAAACAGAGTGAAAAGACCATTGCAGGGAGGTTCTGCAGCGTGGCTCAGGAGGTGCAGGCAGCCTCTTGGGAGCTCATAAGCAGCCACTGTGCAAAAAGGCAGTAATTTCACTGAGTTTTACCTCTGCCATATTGGGACTGGCAGGATTTTGTGAAAAGCTGATTAAACTAATGGACTGTTTTACCTAGGGCTCATTTCTTCTTAGACAACTATCCACTTAAAAGAAGAGCTCTGTAACTGTTTGCAGAAGTGGGGTTTTATAGAACTTACAAAAAGGCATATTCCTGTCCAATACTTTACTGAAAACTTAGAGAGTTGCTATGCCTAAAGTATAACACCCAACCCAGAAGGGTTTAATGGTTTGAATAATCAATGCCTTCACCTTCCCTTCTACTTTTTTTCTATATGAAACATTGCCCAGAGTGTCTTTTGGGGGAATTTGTTGTGCAAGATGCTCCAGTTTTGGCAGATAATAAAAATCAGTCAGTTCATAAAAACACATCTTTGAGATGCTATAATCTCTCTGTAAAAGCATGTGTAGAAGAAAGGGGTCAGAAGAAGCAGGAGGGAAGGAGTCAACATATGAAACACTGAAAAAATTTCAGAGTCCTGGAGCAAGTAAGTAAATAGAAATAAGCTGAAAAGGTGAGAAGCTCATGAGCAACTACCCCATTCCCTTTTCTGATAAACTGTTCTGGTGGTGACACTGCTGGAGAGCACTGATCAAATCTGCAGGATTTGCAGGGCAGCCTGGCAAATTGTTCTCTGTAACGGAATCCATTATAAAAAATATGTGCTCCTAACCATAAAACTCTGGCTATAACCAACAATCTTATATAGAAAAAAAGTAGCAGTGAGAATTTATTAACTAAAATAAGTAGCATACACACCTGCAAGCTGCTACAGCCACATAATCTATTGCACTGTAACTGAGGACTATACAACAAGTGCTTGTTATCTCAAGCCATGTAAGTACTACAAATTCAAGACCTAAACCAGCCATTTGTATGGTATCAACATATTAAATTCAGGGCTGCTTTTGGAAATCCTTATTATAGAAAGACTGATTTATCTGGTGTGCAAGCAACAACTCAGTATAATGGCAAGCATAAAGCTAACAATATATTTTGCAAGATTCACTGTATGTATGTCGTGATATAGTTTTTAAACATGCTTACCACACTGTGGCTGTAATGTAAAATTTAGACAATGAGTTAACTTTGTGAATGCAAAAATCTTCTACTCCCTCCCAGTTTTTCCATTTATTTTTCCTTTAAAAAGACTGGATAACTTTTTAGCCGGTCACATCTCTAGGGAAAAAAACTCTTGATCCGTAAAACCTCTACTAATAATTTGACACCATTTAGCAATTCTGCTTATTAAAACTATTTACAAATTAATTTACAAAGTACATGAATTACAACACTTGTTACTTGACTAGCAAATGTGCCCACATGATCACTGTTGAGGTCAGTGAAGGGACACTAACAGTGCCTCCAGTTTATTCATTTGTGCAGAAAAACTTCCACCTCAGTTTCTTTAAACCCCTGAGTGTAAGTATCTGAAATATGGGGAAATAAAAAACAAATGTAATATAAAATTGCCAAGGTGTAGTGTCCTTAACTTTTCAGAAGTGAGGAAACAGCTAGTTTTGATTGAAAATAGAATTATTTTAGGGTGGTTAGTATTATTAACATGGAAGTTTTATTGCTCTTTAGGTGTACAAATACCCATGACTGTCTGTGGACCAGGTGTTCAAGTGTCTCCCTCCAAACTATAAAGTTCTTTTGCCTCCTATCTCCGCCTTAATAAATTTCTGATTCTGATTCACAATATCCATGGAAAGATCATATTTTTGATGAAGGATGTTATAGTTCATATAACAATAGGATATGGCAGACAACAATAGTGTCCCTTTAGTAAATGGCACTTGAGCACAAATTCCCCTCTATTGGTATACACTTCAAATGTTTTTCTGCTAAAAATTTAGCACAAGTTATTTAATACTGCTTTTGGTTACTTTAATTATTGTTTAACTGCAAAATAAACTTATTTTACGCTTGTGTCCAAGCCTAACCTTCCCCACACATTACAAAACTGCAAATTCTCTGTAGTTTATTTTTTAGTTGTAGATAACTGTTACATAAATTAAAAATGGCATTGTGAACTGAAAAGATTTTTGTTACTTTATAATGAACTATTCTTCTGTCCATAATATGTTGTATTCACAGCTACAGATTAGCACCTACTCATATCCACCCACATGCCAGGATGAAAAGGGAATGAGAACAATGGATATTTTGGATATTTGCCAACTATGGATGTATTGCCAGCTAAGAAAATGCCACAAGCAGAAGGCAGAGCAGGAAGCTCTCCTCCCAAGTGAGGGTTGAGGCAAGATCAATCTGCTTCTTGAAGTACTGAGGCCTTTCACAGAAATGAAAAAACAACATCAGCACACATCCTGGGAAAATTCCAGATAAAACCTCCCCACAGCATGGCAATGCTTAACACATCCTCAGTTGAAACAACTGCTACATCATGTCCCCGAGGCAACAAGAAGTCAGAAAAGATAAAACAATTCTTTTGTACACTGTATAGTTTTGCTGTGGGCTTGAGGATCCATCTGCCTAGAAGGTGTTTGAAAAATGAAAGGTGTTGTCTTGTTTTTAATTGTTATGAATGTTTTTGATCAAACAGTTATTGAAGAAACACAGCTATGATCCTACAACACTAACACATTAAATATTCTCTAATTTTTTAAGAACTTTAAAATAAATATTTAAACCAAATGAGGTGCAAAATGTCTCTGTTTAGTGCAAGCCCCCCATTTCATATTGAAATGCATCAATTTTGGTGCACCAGGCACTAACTACCCTTTTCTTTAACAGCATCAGCAGCAAAAACATGAGAAACCTGCTCAAGCCTGGAGTGTTATAACTCAACAGCAAGCAATGTGCCTTGGGCTGATTCCGTCAGGGGAGGTCATGGACTGGGAAGAATATTTAAAATAATCAATCCTCTAGGCAAGTTCAAGAGTGTAAGGGGAATAATGTAAGAGCTTTAAAGTCTCCTAGATCTATAATGTTTGTGTAGTGAAGTGAAAGGGCAGGAAGGTAGATTACTACACACAGAAGGAGAGTTTTATTTGGTTAAGAATTACCAAAATACTCTGTGTGAAAAGTATAGAGAATCTTAGCCAAGGAGTTAAAAAAAAGCAAGGCAGCCATCACTCAATTTTTGGAGAGAGTTTTTCAAACTCTGAAGGCCAAGCAAATCATCAGGTAAAGACAAAGCATAGCCACAACAACAGGCATTGAGTAAAGCTTACAATTGGATGGGACTCAAAGGTGCCACAACCAGGCTCCCCCATTTTGCGCCCTACTACAAGGAGGTGTAGCAATACTGAGATTCTGCTGTCTCTCTAATACCAGTTATGCTGTCACACAGTGATGGCCAAGGGGCTGGTACTCAAACATTCATTTCCCTTCCCTCATTAGAGCTGACCTACGCTACACTTCCTGTACTTTTGCATCCCTTTCTGCCTGATTGTTGGCAGATGAAGATTCCCTGTATCTGGAAAGACTCACCCACCATGTTAACACTAATAGGAACACCACTGATTTAAATAATGTCCTGTAAAGAATATGATGCCTTAAGATTTTAGCCTTTATATTTTTCAAATTCTGTACTGCATTAGTGCTTAATTCTAAGCTCCATATAAAGTGTCAGTTAACTGTCTTCACATTTTGTTCAGACAAAACAATCCCTCTGGGCCTGAGATCCAAAAACACCCTACAGCTTCAGGCCCCAAAATGTATAAACAAAAGGGAATTGTGGTAATAACTTCATTACCTGAAGGTGTAATTGGAGGATTAATGCCTGATATGTAAATAGACCAAACTTATATCTGGCTGAAAAACTCGTGACCATTGTCCAGCTTGGCTGTAGCCTCTGAGACTTCTGACTGCCCAAGGTGTGCCTTTTGAAGGCCTTTCATAAAAGTCTACTTTTATTCTCTTCACTTCGTCTAGCCTCTGTTCTAGGTAGCCACTCCAAGGCATCAAATGTACTCCCAGTCCTTGTGTTATGCATCTCCATTTGGGGATATTTCTCCCTCTGTTTCCAGCTGGTGACAAAGAGGCCATTTAGAGCAAAGGCACAGGTGAGTATGGGGGGTTAATATACACATAAAATATTAGATCAAGATCTTTGAGATTTATAACCAAAAAAATTGTTGGGGAGCCTTTACTCATCTTGATGCAATTCCTGCTACATTACTTGTTTTATTTATTTAAATAAAACAACACCTAGAGGGCAAATAAAACCATTTCCAGTCTTTATAGTGGGAGGTTTCCCCTCCATCTTTAATTCATGGGGTTTTTTTCAGCATTGACTGTAACTTGAATCAATGCACTCCATCGGGTTACCTGGTGATCATACTCTCTACAACATGCAGGTACAATGGAGTAAGTCAAAACCCAGGGACAGTCTCAATACACTCCCACATTATTTCTCAGATTTCTTTTACCTCCATCTTTTTAACCCCAAAAAGATGCTTGTAGTGTGCATACTAAGTTCAAAAGCACACAGCTCACCCTGACCACATAATAAACCTCAGCAAAGCCCTGTTGCTGTAGTGCTAAGAGATCCATACAGAATTCAAAACAGGTTTTCCTGAGCTTGTTTAATGACAACGAGCCCACAGCAATCAGCTGGCCACAACAACTATTCTGCACTCCACCCTTTTCCTTTAGGTTGTGTTTTACCCTCAGTTTTGAGGTTGGAAATCCCCACCACACTAGGGAAGGGTTGTGGGAAAGCAAAGAGTTCCACTAAAAATATCAGAGGCAGATTGTCTTCAGTGCAGCACACCGTAAGCAAGTTTTTAAAATGAAGCCTCCTTTTAAATAAAATGAGACCTTCAGGAAGCACAGCAGAAGATTATGATCCTCTTCATCTAAGTTTTGTACCAGTCTTAAAAATTATAAAAGAAATGTTGCTCTGAGTATTTCACTCATTTTTTACCATTATCCTTTTCTCCCCTTTCAGAAAAGGCTTTCAGTGTGTTGATTATATTTCTGTGCTGAGTTCCTGGAAATGCTTAATCTAAAATGACAATTTGACTAAATACGGTGGCTGCCATTTTATTTAGCCACAGGAGAGGTGAAAAGTCAGTCTGCTGCTTCACTTAGTGAAATGGACAATGTAACTCAGAGAATAGATACATGACATTTTCTGTCCATCAGTCTGTGCTTTCTTTTTACAGATTTATCTGCTATCTAAAAGCTAGTTGTTTACCAAGTCACCCTTATCTTTCTTCTTTGTGAAGCTTCACTGCAATAAATAAAAAGCCTTGTGTTTGATGTGCCTCCAGATCATTTTGATTTCAAATACACTCAAGATTTCATTTTGATTGCCCTTCCAAAAATTATATTTCATATTATGTCATAACATCAAAATATTCCAATAGAGAATACTGTTTCTGGGTTGGGTTTTTTTCCTGTTTGTTTCCCAAACAAAATTAAATGTCTGTCTTACAAAATTTTCAGGGCATCTTCACTGAATTAAAATGAACCAGAATTAATGGAGCTGCAGAGGGTAGCTCCAAAAGTAAACAGAAAGATGACCATAAACTCTGTTGTCTACCAATAACTTCCTATAACAGAAATTATTGTATTGATTAATCCACTAGTGAGACAGGTCTTAGAAAGATTATTTTCACTGTTCACTAAAACTCACACAATATTTACATGAGCTCAGAACTTCAGCTGACAAACACACTGATAGCAATGAGAAGTTTTAGTCTGATACAATGATTCTAGAAATAAAAATTAAGACGTTTGTCTGTCATAGTATTAGAAATTAGCTACTTTGCACAAACCTAGGAATATAATTTAGCTTTTTCCATTCACATGCAAATAACACTATTCCTAGTGCACAAAAGATATCCCAGGGAAGAAATTAAAACATTATAGAATCTAAGAGCAGGGTTATTACATGTCAACCAAGTTCTGTGCTATGCTTTGTTTCAGGTTCTGTGTGATATGACAGCTGCTTCTATTCAGACGTTATTTTAAAGGAAACATTTTCTGTAATTTCAGCTGACTCATTCAAACTAGCAACACTCCATTTTAAAATACCATTGAGAAAATGCAAAGCATTTCTTCACTGGAGACAGCATTCACTGTTCTAATCTAATGCAAATGTTAGTTAGAATCAACAAGCTTGCACAAATGCCAAATCGCTTGTCCCCCTTTAGATGATTTCACACCTAACATAGCAACAGACAATTCGTCAGAAAACACATTAAAAAGCATTTTAAAATGTATCACTGTGTATTATCTCTACGGTAAATAACACAGTATGTCCCAAATTGCTGTTCTAAACAAAGAAAAAACACAAAACCAATCCTGAAACACAAGGTCTGTGATACAAATTCAACTGGGACTAATATTGCAAACCCTAATAGAGACAGAACTCTGACATGAATAAAAGCTTTTTTCTAGTAAGGGACAGCCAACAGGTTGCCAAAGATGTCTTCCAAAGATAAAAATGTTAAGTAGTAAGACTACTTTTTCCAGCTACTCCTGTCTATGTCCCAGCCTATTTCATTACACAGAAGAGACATGTATGATAAAATAATTTATGCAAAAATGAGGAATTCACAGATGTCTGAGTAAAGGACACAGTGCCAAGATCACTTTGCCTTGTCAGAAGTTGCTCCAGCCAGGGCAAATAGCACTGTGTCAGTGAGAAAAAGGAAGAAAAGCTTGTGGGCTCAGCAGTGCCAGAACTGTGGATGAGGCACTGAGGGATGAGCCATATGGTGATAAGAAAGTGGCAGCCATTTAGGTGGCCATAGGAGGATTATTTGTTTTGTGGGCAGTGATCAAAGCTAAAACAAACAAAAAAAAAGCAGGAAGACTGGGGAAAGCTCCTGGTGCTGCCAACTGGAGCAGCTGATGCCATAAACCAGGTTAGTGATTATGCAGATAGAATCCTTTATAAATCTGTCCCAGCATATGGTGAACAGGAGAACAAAGATGGCCAAATTACTGCAGTTTCTATTGGCACTCCTGGAGATATCCAAGAGCTGTGAAGGAGTAGGACCAGACATGACTCTAAGACTGGTGACTGCTCCTTCAAGATGAGGATGATGAAGATCAAAACTGTTGCTCTCAGTGGGGTACTGTTTATAAGACAGCAAACAAAAAGGAAAAAAGATGAAAAAAAGCACCCCAATATCAAAGTGAGGATCTCTATTCATGTTAAGATGTGATCCTGGGCACTGATGGGACTGTTTTCAGTGCTTTGCAGCCAGGAAGGTCCCTCTCCATGCACGGGGGTTTGCACACCAATTTGACCCAGCTGAGACACATAAGCCAGAATTGCACACAGCAATTCTGAAATAACAGTCCTGGCACCTGCTTTTACCTAAGCTTCAGTACACCTTTCATCTCAGCATCCCCTGAGCCTTTTATTTTAACAGGGCAACTGCTCCTTGCCCTTTCATCCCTCCTGCCTACTTACAGGAATGTGACCCCAGCTGTTAACCCTCAATCTCGCTTTGTGCACTCCCCAGGCTCTCCTTCCACAAAACCACCCAGACATTATTCATCTTGAGGCTCAGGACAGGTGCTGCAGCAAGAATGGCAAACTGCTAGCTCAGTGGCAGGGAAGGTGAGCCCCCAATATACTTGGCATGTCCTGGCCAGTCCCAGTGCCAGCTCTTTCTCCATCTAGCAGCAGAGATGCT